CTCATTTCACTAAGGGCTGAAAGAAATAAATATAAGATCAATATAAACAAAGCTGAAAGCAGCTACTGTTGCCATTCAAGGAAAGAATAATATACCGGTTGCCATTCCTAGAGTAAAAAATAAAGTAAATTTGTTGGCTGTAATGTGCGAGAAACGTCTGGAAAGCATTTAAATGTCCATGTCTACAGCGAGAATTCTTTATACAATATTTAAAATGCACCGCAATTTAAAAACTCTTTAACGTATACATCACTTACATTTTTCTTTTTTTCTTTTTTTTTTTTTTTTTTTTTTTTTGAGGAATAAAAATTGAAATTTCGAAAAATGTTGACTTCGTGAAACATATTTAAAAAGTCTTTTGTCCCCTTAAACTCTGCATGAGTTCATTTTCGAATTGTCCCCCTTAACAGTCGCATTGCCTCCTTGCGGGGCGTGGTCCCCACGTTGGGAAACACGGGTCTAGACTCTAGAAGAAAGACACTTCCAGGGTTCTCGCGAGCGCCTGTTGAGTGAAAATTGAGATCTTGAGGTATTAGCTGTTTAAACTGGTGATTTATCGGGACGCGTTCCGCACGTCCATTATTTTTATGGGACGGAAGACTATTATATTTGATTATTACTCAGAGTACACTGCGATTTACAGAAGAGCCTCCATTGGCATTAAGGGGTAAATCTTGCAGAAGCATTAATCAAGCTTTGTGATGTAACATTCAAACTATTGCTTAGGTTGAAAATATATACAGTTATGCTCATTTCACAAGCTACGGTTGCATAACTGATTAAATACTTATTTTGGTTCTTGATTACATAACTTGATAAGTATTACTTGGGTTACTGAACATGCCTATTATTCACATAATACAGATAATTCGTCAGATAAATTTTACATAAATCTGGAAGTAGTAGCTTAAAGAATTAAATTACATGTTAAATAAAATAAGATACCTAATTATAACTAGGTATATAAAATGATAAAATACAATTTCCTTACTGGGATTTGGTTTTGGGGATTTCAAGAATATGCTAAGAGGGGTAATAAATACAGGGATTGGTGTAAAAATGCCTCGTACTACGGGGATGTACAGTGATCCGATTTGCTCGGTATCACTTAATCTTGGTATAGAGCTCTTGGGTTCTGAGTTCATTGTTCATCAGTTTGGTTCTTTCCTACTTCTTGAATAACCTCAAACCAAAATGTTTTGTTCAGAATCGCTTTCTGTTTTCACAATGATAATACTAAACAAATAATCATCAATAAATGTATCATAAAGACGAAATTCCTTGGTAAAATAAATAGCAGGAGTAAAAATACCAGAAGGATTGGCTGTAAAAAATTAAAATGGTAGAGGTAGCAGATCTACTTTTTCATAAAATTTTCTTGCTTGGCTAGAAACATCTGAACTAATTTCGCGATAAGAATCATTGTTTGGAGAACTTTCTCAGTGAATCATTTACGTGTCTCTTCTAGATCCGGATAATGATCAATAACCTAATACTCTGGTATATAATCTAACATTCCAGTATATAATTTAATAACTCAATACTGTGAAATGGTTCTGTTGATAGTTGAGAACATCACATTAAATCTCTCACTGCCTTTCTGAAGCTCTTTAATAAGACATAATACACAGTAAAAACTATTCTAAATTTCAAGATTTCAAACGGGCCCACTAGCGGCCAAGCGGTAAAATCGCTGAACACTGGTATTTCGATCCGAGGTTCGAATCCCGCAAACGTGCTGCCTGGGCGTTCCCCATGTGTAACGTGTATACGAGCCAGTTTCCCTTAGAAAGTCCTCCACAAAGGCATCCCTCTCCTTAGGCAGATAGCCCTCGTGTGCTTTGCCGTATTCTCAGTACACCATACACCATACACCAAGATATCAAACACGCACCAACTCGACAGACGGTCTCTATTCATTCTGCGCTTCTACAAAAACTTCTGCTTAGAGTTGCCGTATTTATTGGCGGTAACGTGGGTGCAAGGCGTGCTCCATATCGCTTTCACCATAATTCTATTGTAAATTTAGGTAAATATGTGTTTATTTGACTGTATTTATATTTTTACGTATCTTTATAGTATTCTGTATTGTTTTTATGCAATCACTTATTTATTTGTTACATTTTAAGCCATAATTTGTCTGCGTATTTTTGTTTAATCGAATTTGTGGCCACTTACATTTGTAAGTTTTTATTTCGTGTACTAATTCAGTGTTTGAATTAAAAAGATGGCTCAGTTAGAAATGAAGTCTGTTTAGAATCTCTCCTCAGAAGTTTTCGTGACATTTGGTGATTTCTCTTCATCTTAACGACATTCTGGAAGTTTCTTAAAACGCAATTACAAGGTCCTAGAAGAGATGTTTTTCGAAGCTGCCTGAAGTACCTGGACAGTTCTATCAGTATGACTGATTAAGAACCGATAGTTAGTTCACACGTCTGCATTGAGTTTATGCTCAGTAATAACTCTCCTAGACTTTTCTTTGTGAATGATTTTCTGATATAACGATATTTCTTTGCGCGTTAAAGAGAATTGGGCTTTTCTCTGCTGTTTCAGCTGAGTTTTTTGTAATTCTTATTTGCTTTGTTATACTAGCTGTGATTTATTTTAAGAAAATAGGGGAAAGTGCAAAATCGCCCACTGCTTCGCGCGTTTTTAAGAATTGCACATATTCGGTATCCATGCACATGTAGACCTATTTTCACTTAAAAAGCATCCCAGAATTGCACAAAAATGGCATTGCACACTCCCTTGATCCATGCACACATCGACCTATTTTTCACTTTAAAAGTAAAAAAAAATTGACAAAAATACAATTCTTCTTACTCTTGTAAAAAGCGCCAAACAAACAAGTGGGCGATTCTGCACTTTAGCCAGAAAATATCTCTTTCTTCTTCTGATATAAATAACAATGTTTCTTCTTCTTCTGATATAAATAACAATGTTTCTTCTTCTTCTGATATAAATAACAATGTTTCTTCTTCTTCTGTCGTTATACAGATCTCTAACAACTCGTAAGGGCGGAACAAATAGTTTTATGTTATTAATATAACATAATTTAAAATTAATTTTTTAAGCTAATGCTAAAGATATGAATTGCAGAATATTTTGAGAGAAAAAATGTCAGCAAGGTAATGAAAGAACGTGGTGGGGGAGAAAGACCATCAAAGAAAGTTAAAATTTGTGCCAAACCGTAGAAATTGGTTTTAAACTCACTATTTACTGAAATGATTACGCGACTGATTAAAATCACTTTAAATTAAACAAAATCAAAAATGATCTAGATAAAACAAGAACAAAAAAACGAGATTTGAAGGAACTTAACTGCCTGCAAAGGTAAAATATAATGCAGTTACAGTGCACAGCGAAACTCAAACAGTGTACATACTGTGTATGACAAAGTGGTTACAGCGATAAAAAACAGATAATTCTTAAATAAATTTCCTAATAAAATTTATTTAAATTTACTGCTATTGAGAATTTGAGGAAAGAAAGTTGAAGTACGAAATTATTGAAATCTTCATCAAACTCTTCAAATGCATTTTATACTTACCGAACTCGAAACAAATCGGAAGTAATCTTAAGTAAGAAAGCATTAAAAAGGCTTAATTAAAGCTCTCAAAGCTCTTCAAACCCCTATAAAATGGATTTTATTCCATTAGATAATATGCGAGTAATAGAAGTTAAATTACTTATTTTTTCCCAATCGTATCATTACAGTATTCATAGCTGCTCGAAAAAAATGCATTAAAATGCAGCAGTATTATGTCATTCAAAATAAGAGATAATTTTTTAACTTCAAGCTATTTTATGATGAAAAAAATATTAAATGCACAAATGGGTTAGCTGCATGCAATTTCATCATAACAAGAGAATTAGGTAGACTTGACGAAGAACAAAAAAACTTAGCTCAAGAAAAAGAAATTTTTTTTCGAATTTCTTTTCTCTATTAGTTTAAAAGTGGTAATAATAGAAAGCGGCATTTCTTCAGGTGATGCAACTTTAAGGGTCTGTGAAGCACGTTTAATATTTCGAAACAAGATTTAAAATACAAAACAGTCAACATTTTAACAGCTTAAGAGTATTATTAGACCATGAAAAGGGTCTTTTATGGCTTTCGCTTGACTCTATAAAAAATTAACGTCCAGTGGTAAAAAAAGTCTATATTTTTAGGATGAATTTTTTTAACAAATTCCTGTAAATCTTCAAATGATAGTTGATTACTAAAACATCTGAATTTGCTTCGCCTAAAATATCATTTGATTACTGATAGAAGTTTTTATTTTGATCCGTTGCTGGAAACTGAATTCGAGTGTTAATGGGGTGACAGGTTGAAACACTGACAAGAATATTTTATATTACGCTAAACGAAATCCTATTAAAATGCTTTACAATTTAACAGTTATACCAAAACGAAGCTTGAATTACTCTGTAATTTGATGCGTAATACAAGTACGCATGCTCGTTTTGGATCATTCATTGCTGAAACTCTTTTGGAATTTTGTAACCACCTTATACATTGTTACTTCTCACATAAAAAATCCCTTTTCAAAATAATAATAATTATTATCTGAAAGATTTCACGTTTTAACGGTCGCCCAAGAAGATTTATTAAGGTTTTTTACGCTCTTGCTGATCTCGCTGTCTACTAGTCTGCTGTTACACTCACTGCAACTAACCCAATTATTTAATTATAATTTCAGAAATGTAGTTATACTGTAATTGTGATTACAATGCAACTACATACATGTATGCTGTTATTAATAGTTTAACTAGAGTTATTCAGCAATTGCAGTTGCGTTGGAGTTGCACAAAGTAATTACATTGCAGTTGTGTAACTAAATTAAAATTATAAATCAATTCGAAATCAATAATCTTGTAATTTCGATTACATTTCCCACAACTATGCGTAAAATAGGAACTAGCAGATCTAGTTATAATGTTTAGTAACAAGAAATGTTTTAATTTTTCGATATGATTGGTGACACAAGAAATTTAAATACCTGATTTTCTGATCTGAGCATCTTAAGTTGGTCATTGATAAGAGCATGCTTCGCTGCTTCCTCCTTCCTCAAGGCACGTTCTTTCTTCAGCTCTGGGCTCCAGAATGTCTTGATGCTATGCATACTAGAACCCAACTTCGTCGCTGTCACGTCCAGCTCTCGCTTCACATTCCCGTATTGGTTTTGAAGCTCGTTCAGCCTAGCCTGCAGTTCCGCCAAGAAGTTATCTCGGTTGCCTCCGTAGTTAAGTCTATTTTAATAACATAGAATCTCATTACTTTATTAGTTCATAAACATATTATTGCATAAAGAGCAAGAAGACTAAGGGATTGAATTAAAAGAAATTAAGAAAAAGCGTTAATGATAGTAGAAATCAATAAAAATACATAAAATTAAACAAAACGCATATTTTTTCATATTTGTCTGTGTCTACGTCATTAAATTAACGTTGCAAGGAATAATCAGAACATAATTCATGTAGTCAATATATGCAATATAACTATTAAACCATTATACTGAAAATGGCGAAGCTGCAAAGAATTTTCTGCCTCCTGACTATGTGCCATTCTAATGTAATTGAAAGCATACCCGGATAGCAATCAGAAGGTCTGGAGTTCGAATCTCACTGAGCGTTATAATTCTTATTTCATGTTCCTCTGTTTCAAAAAAATTCTAAATAGCTCTGTAGTGGAACCCGAACTAAAATGTGGTTGTTGATAATTCGCTACCACCCGAATTCGGCGACCTAATCCTCTCCTTCACATTAGCCCTTGAAGTCGGAGAGAAAGTAACGAATTTTCTCCTTCTTTACCGCGTGCCTTCCTGTAGTAATTCTGGATAGCAATCGGGAAGGCTGGAGCTCGAATCATGGTGAGAATATTGCTGATTTTGCTTGTTTCCTGCATCGAAGATAGTTGATAAACTCATGAACTTGGGCACAGACTTACTAGAGTCTAGAGTTAGACGTCTAATCTAAAGCAAACGTGCTAAGATATGATATGCAGATGCAAGGTGGAGTGTGCAACGTCATTTACCATGTGCCACGTATCGTGTAAATTAAAAACCATGTCATACAAAATCCATGTATATATAACTATCGGCATGATGTGCTACGAGCAGCTCACAAACTAAAACTGTAAATATTGCAAATGAACTGAGTCAGTAATGAACATTACGCACTGAGGTCAGTTATCGCGCATATAACTAAGCACTTTGCAGCGCGTATAACTGCCTTCAACAGAACAGCAATGTGTCAATACTGGCAAATTACGCAATGCAGGACAGTTCATGTACTACGTGTACTAATACAACACATGCATATAACGAGACCCATTCTAAAGTGCGAAATGAAAATAATGGAGAAATGCGCAGATGCAAAATCCTGCAATAATTTGCTAACTGTAAATGCAAAAGTAATCTATGTGTATTATAAATGCCAATGTAGTCCATTATATGTTTTTGTACATGGTAAATATATTAATGTAATGATTAAGCAATGTATTATAAGTGTAAAGAACTTCGGTACAGAATAACATTGTAAAACTTACCAGTTTAATTATAAGCAGTAATGTAATATGCACATTCGTATAAGTTAGTCAGTATAATTTATCCTGCATAATGTTTCACCTGTGCATAACAAATTTCCTTGCGTATAACATAACACGCATCATGTATATACCCCCTTCTGTGCATAATGCTTTTCCTATGTATCACTAATTTCCCTGTGTATAATTTAATGCGAAGCCAATGAAAAACAACATAATTACAATCTGATGATAATGTATCTGTTACTAGTATACGGTATATTAGGAAAGAAAATAAATGTAATAAGTATTGGGAAGTTAATGTAATGTTAAGGTAAGGCGTTATTTCGTCTTGTCAATCTGATGTGTAGAATGTAATGTGGTGTGTAAACCATGTATCGCAATATATAATATGTAGTGTAGTAGGTACTGATAAACTATCTTGTTAATTTGATATGTAGTACATTATCTAATACGGAAGCCAAGTATCGTAATATGTAATGTAATCGTAATAGTGTCATATGTATCATAATATATAATGTAATATGTAATGCAATCGTAATAGTGTCATATGTATCACAATAAATAATGCAATATGTAATGTAATCGTAATAGTGTCATATGTATCATAATATATAATGTGATATGTAATGTAGTCGTAATAGTGTTATATGTATTATAATATATAATGTAATATGTAATGTAGTCGTAATAGTGTTATATGTATCATAATATATAATGTAATATGTAATGTAGTCGTAATAGTGTCATATGTATCATAATATGTAATGTAATATGTAATGTAGTATGCACTGATTAATAAGCAACATGACACACAATGCAAAGCCCAACTGAAATAATGTGAATGCAAACTTTATAATAGTATTATGCATAACGATGTAGGCAGTGTATCGAGTAACGGGTACAATTGGCATGGTCCAGATGACAATTCAATATGCATCCAGTGTATAAAGCCTATCATGTGTATAATTTATCCTGTATAATGCAATACTTGTGTATAACTAATTTCCTGTGAATAATTTAACCCGTATCGTGCTTATAACCCCCTATTGCGTATAATGTTCCTATGTATCATTAATTTCTCCGTATATAATGTAATGCGTACCCAGTGTATAATCATAATATAATGCGTATCCTGTGTCTAATGCAAATCCTGTGCGAAATAACCCTTTTATAATGTACCAATATAGGGTTTATTAGATAAGAATTTTAATGTAATAAGTTGATGTGAAGTTAATGTAATGTTAGGGAAAAGCATTAATTTGATATGTAGTATATAATGCAATGTTTAAATCATGTATCGTAATATATAATGTAATACGAAATGTAAGATAAAGGTGGACGTAGTGCTGTACTGATTAACCCAAATGGTAAAGGGACAGTACCCACGTCCTCCGTCGCTTATCGCTTATCGAAATTAATTCTCTCCAAACTTAAATTGTAAGAAATCTTATTCTCCTGTGCATGTTAAAACATGCAAGTGATTAATGCCTTTAACTAACAGCTGATAGATCCGTAGTTAGAATTTCGGCTAAGCCTACAATTGATTCCTCACGTTTCCTGTTTCAAAAATTCCATTAGGTTTCAATAACAGCAAATGAACTGAAATATGTTTGGAGATAGTTTTTCACCACTTGAATTTAGTCGAGTGGGTCTCGTATCTCTTTTCAATCGGCCTTGAAAGTAGGAGAGAATGTAAAGAATTATCGCATTCCTACTTGAGTGCTTTCTTCGTATAATACATTTAGCTAACAAATCAGAAATCCATGAGTTCAAATATTGGAGAAGAAATATTTTTAATTTTAATTTTTATTTGCTTATATATATTTTATTTGCTTAGGTTTATCTTTTGAAAACCCAGACTGTCTGGAGAATATGATGTAATACAGAATACAGTAATTTCATTATTATACCAATTAATCTATAGTACATTTTCTGCTAAAAATAAAGATAAAATAATATATTTATTTGTAATAACCGCTGAATTTTCATTTCAAGAGGCCAGATATATTATAATGTGAGCTTCTTCAACTGGATCTCGAACTCAGTCTTCCCTGCAGATGAGCATGCTACCCTTGTATTACCAAAATTAGCTATCCTATTGCCAAATGAAATTTCCTAAACACATCCCTTCCTCTTAAATGTTCAATAAATGACAGATATATGAGAATAATCTATCTTCTATCTATATATATAAAAGGAAGAGTGTGTGTGTGTCTTTCGTTCGAGCTTGCGCGTAAACTAATAGACCCAGGACTACGAAATTTTGTTACATAGGTGCATCTAGACAAGAGCCAGTGCACCTCGAAGCGATTTTTTTCAAACTTCGAATGAGTTTTTTAATTTTTTAATTTTATGTTTTTCGATGAAATAGCATCAAATTGATAATTAACCCTCATTATATAATCAACAATGGCACGCAGCCATTGTTGCTGATATATCACTGTTGCCATCGTTGCTCATATCAGCACTGTTGCCGCTTGGAAAAATGAAAGCGATTATTCTGTTCAGTTTTTAAATTCAATATATTTTTGTTATATACTAATATTTATGTTAGATACTGAACGTTTGTCGATAAAAGGCAACGCGGAGTTGGTTAATTTATTTATTAGGATAATTAATATTTGTATTAAGGGATATTGCTTATTTCATACAATTTTTTATATGTAATACATTTTTATTGAAATTTGTCTTTTTATCACTTTTTGTATTTATTTATTTATTCATTTTTTTTGTAAAGTTGTTCTGCAGAGTTAAATTCTGTGCAGTTTTTAAGTTTAATGTTTGATGTTTCCTTTAGCCATTTTCCTGGTACGTTTAAAAGCAAGACGAAGGCTGGCCGCGTTCGGCTAGTAAGTAATAAATGTTAGTTAAAATAATAATAACTGTAAAAACTAATAGTTCTAGTGTTAAATGTTATACACCAGTACAATATTTAAAATTGGAAAAATTCCAAACTTAGGCTGCCATTCGTTTTAAGAACAAACGCTTGTGCGTTTCGAAAACATCAGACTAGACCTCTTTTCTGAAGTACCAAATTCCTGATTCTATCGAACACATAGAGAATATCTCCTTAATATGAAACTAATCTGAGATCAGATTTTGTGCACTTTTAACATGCAATAAAGATCTAACTTCTGCGCAGTTTTACATATCATATTTACTTATGATTATACCTTCTTCGAATGAAACTATACTACTCCATGAGTGGAATGCAGTTCACAATGAAAAAAAAAAAAAACCATCTAAATCATATTGTCTTTTGATATGAGTGGAAACGTTTAGTCAAAAATCTATCTGATGGAGAATAAACAGGGATTCAAGGTTTCCTTCAAAAAATCCCTACAGGAAGCATTTTACTCGGCGTCATTTTAAATGCCCCCATATCGCAAAGACAGTAGATTCTTAAACATGATCTGGCTGAGTTGACGAGAATTAGAGACAAAACAATTAAATTAGTTTTACTTACGTGTCATTTTCACAATTTATTTTTTCCGCACGGTTTAGTATAAAAGGTAGCCGAACCGGCTACCATTAACTTTGAAACCTGCAGATGATACGGATGTTTATAATAGTGTATTTGTATGTAATATTGGTCTATCTTTTTCTGATGCACTATGAGCACAGTTCTCCGTGATTAGATGACTAGTGGTTTTGGCAGTTGTCGACAAATACTTAACGAGGAGGTATCTCATAATGGATAAA